TCGTTGTTTGGCGGGCCTGAGCTGGATTCGAACCCGCCACCTTAGGTGTATGTGGCTGACGCCTTACCCACTTGAGCCACAGGCACTGAGCTACTCTTAAAATATTTTTCTGCCCTGTCATCACTCTCTTCTCCCAAGGTTTATGAGTTCCTATAGTCTTGTTCATTTTCCATTCAAATCTGTCTTCAGATTGTATGGTTTTTATTAACTTGCTTTTAAGTTAGCAAGTTAACCTTTTGCTATCTCCTTCTGCTGATAAGTTCATCCAGTCAATTTTTTATTTCAGTTTTACTTTTTAACTTTGAAAACTTCCATTTGATTTTTCTTTATAATTGGTATTGCTCTGTTGAGATTTCCTGTCCTTTCATTTGTTGAACTCTTCACTGATGACCCCTGAATGGAGAACTCTAGCTCTGGCCCCCTCCTCAGGCCTGGATCTGGTACCCTCTGTTTGCTAGAGGGCTTTGCTGGTCTGTCTCAGTCATTTCTGAGACAGTCTTCCCTCCAGTCTTCCTCTTACTGGTTCCCTCACAGGTGTCACCTTCACCAATTTACCCAAGCCAGAAATCTGAACCTTACTCTGATGTCCTTCCTTTCTTCCACTCTATTCCTGCCTTCTCATCCTGCTGCTAACAAGAACTATGAGGATTGGGCGGCACCTGTGGCTCAGTGAGTAGGGGCCAGCCCCATATGCTGAGGGTGGCGGGTTCAAACCCGGCCCCTGCCAAACTGCAACAAAAATGCAGCCTGGCATTGTGGCGGGCACCTGTAGTTGCAGCTACTTGGGAGGCTGAGGCAAGAGAATTGGCTAAGTCCAAGAGCTGGATGTTGCTATGAGTTGTGATGCCACAGCACTCTACTGAGGGCAACAAAGTGAGACTTTTTTTTGTCTCTAAAAAAAGAAAAAAGGGCTCTGAGGATCTCAGCTGGACAGTGCTCTCTCCTATCTCCATGCTCTTGGCTCATCTCAGCCTACAGCTTTCGTCTGGGTGACCGATTATCCTGCTTCCTCTTGCAGAATGATGTTCAACAGGGCTTGATGCCGCCTGCCCTCGGCCTGTGGCTTTCCAGGGCTGTTGTAGTGGTGTCCACACTGCTTAGCACACATGGGCCCCGTTTCTGGGCTCCGTTGGTCTCTCCAGCCTCCTCTTCCATTTTCCTGTTTCTTGCTTCCCAGCCTTCATCCTGGCTCCTCCTGCCTGTGGCTGTCTCTCAGAGTGTGTGTGGGAGGTTAACTTATCTCTTCAGAGAACCCCTTGACTCTCTTCTGGAGTGGCCTTGTCTGCGTTCCTTTCTTTTCCTTTTTCATCTTCTTTTGTTTTTTAGAGACAGAGTCTCACTTTATCACCCTTGGTAGAGTGCTTTGGCATCATAGCTCACAGTAACCTCCAAGTCCTGGGCTTAGGCGATGCTCTTGCCTCAGCCTCCCGAGTAGCTGGGACTACAGGGACCGGGTTTAAACCGCCACCCTCTGTATATGAGGCTGGTGCCCTACCCACTGAACCATAGGTGCTACCCAGAACCCTGTCTTTTAACCCTAACACAACTGACTGTTGTGTTCTGAGTGTCCAGAATGGGGGCTGGCATGTAAGACTGATTAAAGTTTGTTTGACGAGTGAATGGGTATGCCCAGCATCTAGTTGAATCAGTACATGATGCTTTTCTTTTTTTGGCCGGGGCTGGGTTTGAACCTCTGGCATATGGGACCTGCGCCTTACCCTTTTGAGCCACAGTCGCTGCCCTAGCTTTTCTCACTTTAATTGACATCTGGATAAGCAGTGCAATTTCCTCAAAAGAACTGAATAACGAGAGGAATTTGGCAGATGAGATTTTTTTTTGA